ATATGTGCTAGTATCCTACACAGTATTATCCTAGGGCATGAGAAAAATGCAAACTACTTCAATACACACTTTTTGACATACATTTTTTTATCCTTCTTTCACAAGGACTTCAATAGTCTTATAATAAAGCTGTAACTGAAGAGGTTGCTTGAAAGATTTTTTTCTGGAGATGTATTAAGTTTCTCTTAGAAAATATTTTCAAGTAAAAAAATAATTTGCAACTCTGCTTATGACGAAAAAACAGCCAATAATAATCTTTAGCACGAACAGATTTCTGAGCTCTCTTGATATGCTTTTGTTGTAGCAACAGCTGTGAGTGAATATTGTTTGAAGTAAACATTTTTTTCTTGCAGAAATGTTGTCCAGCTGCACTGTTCAAGTTACAACATTATGTCCCTGTGTCCTAACTATTGTGCAAAAACTGGTCTGGAATACTTTCTGGCAGCATCTGAGGAGTAAAAACCACTTTTTTGGGTGAGCAATTTTTTGCCTGTTTAGATGAAAAAAAGGTATTTGTAAGGCTTTTTGTTTTGTTCTACTAAGTAATTTTAAGATCTGTTTCCTATAACTGTAGTTATAAGTGATCTATTTGATACACAGTAGGTTCTTAACAGAAAACTGATACAGAGCTAAGGTTGCCTGGAGATGCAATTATGCCCTTCTGGAATGGCTTGTTCAACAAAACTCACTGTGGTAACCAAGAATGCACAGAGAACCTCAAGCACTACAGATTTCATAGCCAAAGGAGATTTGCCCATGCTGAAACTGGATTCACTGTCTTAGGCATAGCTACTGTGAATATTGGAGGGCTTAATTAAAGCAGTTTGGCAGTGAGAGAATGATGCTGTCTGGAAGGACTTCACTGTGATGGAGTTGAGTGAAACTTTTTTCTTGCATGGGGATGCACATGGCTCAAAGAAAGGAGTGTTTATGCATCTCAAGAGATTTAATATGTCTCTTGTTCAGTACAGATTCAGCTGCAGAACCTAGGGTGATCTTGTATTGACAGCAATTAGGTTGGAGATGAGTGTAGCCTGGTTATTTAATGAGAGGAAAACAAAAGCGTAACACCCTTAAGGAGAAGAGGACTGTAAAATGAAGCACATACAACCTTTTTTACCATGAAGCAAGAAAGTGTTTTAGTGTGGGGAAAGGTAAAGGCAGATCTTGTTTTATATTGTGCATGAAGAAAGGTATTCATGGCATGGGTTGCTGTTGAAAGCAGCATTTGAATGCATGTGCTACTTAATTCTTACTCCCTACTTCTCAGAACCTTGATATCTGCTAGTCTCAGCATTCCTGGACATGGTATTCAGCCAAGAAATAACTGTGTGTTATCCTTTTATCTCTCAGTTTCCCAGGGTTTTGCTGATTGTGGTGGTTACAGCAGAGTACCATTAGGTGTCAGAGATCACCATTACCAAGGTGGTTTGCACTTGAAATGCTACTTGTAGCTGGACAGGGAGAAAGGAGGCTCTGGTTTCAACATATGGTACACCTTATTAATGATCATGATTTGCAGGCTTGGAAGATGTAGCTGACAGCTTAGTGAGGGGAGTCACATATCTGTGTGTCTAAATTCCAGATCTTGTCAGCTTTAATATTTAGTGGTTACAATAACTTGAAGGACCAGAGAAAAAAAAACAATTACTTTCTGTGCCTTCACCCCTTCCTTGTGGCTCATTATAGAATATTTGTCAGTGGTGCTATCATTTTTGTCCTGTCCCTTTATGTCACTGCAACTTAAAAATACTCCTTGCTTTTTGGCACTAGACACAGATTCATTAATTCATGTGGTCACGCCCAAATATGCTGTGCTGTGCCAGTTGGATTTGGGGCCAAGGAATAATTCCTCACCCTTTCTTTGGACTTTGGAATTGTTATTTTAAGGCAGCTTCTCTAGAAGAATATTTTCTGCATAAACCCCATGTTCTATGATAGCCATCATCGCCACCCTACTCAGTTGCCAATGGGTCTTCTAGAAGCTCCACCACACAGAGGCAGAAATTACACCTTCTAAAGGACTGTTTCAGGAGCCACTGGCTGTTGGTGATTGTGTCCTTTTCCTGTGCAGTGGGGAGGACAAGGCATCATTTCCATAGCTTGGTCTTACTGTCAGTCACCAGACAATGGAGATCCTGCACAAGCACTTATCTGGAAAAGCTTATGTCCCACCTGCTGACACAATTGATGCCTGTTTTGTGGAAGTTTATCTGCTTGAGATTCCTTCACCAGTGCTGAAACAAAACACAGACTATCCAGAGTTATTGGTGCTTTCAGAAGATCCCAGAAGATCATGATGAGAAAAAAGGGTACCTTAAACTGACAAAACACCTTTTAGGTCTTTAAGCCAGTAGTTAACATCTGCACCTTATATGTCATAGCTAGAGAACAACTTAAGAAATTAAATTAATTCTGTCTAAGTTGTCCCAAGTTTTTCATCATAATTTAATAGTGATATAAAATACTAGAGGATGAGGTCCTAAAAAGCAAGTATGTCAAGTGATAAAAATACAGTACAGCCAAGGGCGTTTGGATAAGTTCCCTTATCCAAATGCCTGATACCTACTGTCTAGGGTAAAATGGAACCTAGTCATTGTCCTGCAGTAGGCAGTGTAAGAGGAAGAAATGTTGTCTGAAGACATCAGTAAAAAAAGTAAAATTTTGAATGGTGAATAAAAGCAGTAGGCTTGTTACAGAAAAAAGTTGCAGTGATTATTAATAATGATCTAATTTTCTTTGAATTGGTTGTAGCAAGCTTGCCAAAGGAACAACCAAAGGAAATATAGATTAATCTCCCATTTGTTATCTTGCGACTAAAAGAAGAAAAAAAAAAAGATTCCTGCAAAATGTGATGTAAAAAGTCACAATTAAGGTTAATAAGGAGAAGAAATTCCCAGCTGTCACAATTGATGATGGTGAGCACCTGCTATTCAGTATTGCTGCCTTAGAGGACTGGGGAGCTCCATGTACTAGTAACCGGATAAATATTAAATTACTTGAATGCTTTGGCCAAAAGCATGATTTGACTTCTCAGTACTCTATTCAAAACCAGTAGACTCTATCAGTTATAAGGAATATACGGATTTTTTTTTTTTGGTGGGAGAGAAAATTTTGACTCATTGGGAAACTGGTGGCTCAAAAGAACACAAGCTGTGATTACCAGTATGTCCTGTGTGACTGCAAGACTAGAATTCGAGCTGACTGAGGGAAGTATATGAGTCTTAGAAGAGCTGGGAAAGGCAAATTTTAAATAGAATGGTTTCTCAGTTTTACCTGTGGCACAGATTGCACACTGCTACAATACAATGTTATCATTGTGCCATATTAGAAACGTTCTAATGACATAAGTATATTTTGAAATTTCTCTTAAATTCTCTTTTGTCACTTTAATGAGATCTGTCATTTGAGGCAGAACAGCCATTGGGGTTGTGTAAGGATTACTGACATGCAATATTTCATTTTGAAAAGCCCAGTATAGCTGCTTCCTGAAAGGCGTTGAATAAACAAAGCTGCAAGCTGATGGCATCTGTTCATCTCACAACAGAAATACTGTATTTGGGTCTAATGCAGGTTCCTTCAGCAATACTGTCACTGTATTTTAAAATTTGATTTCAAGAAAACAACGTGACATATAAAAAGTTAGTTGCAGTTCTTTGTTTTCCTCAACTACAGCTTGTGAAAAAAGTGCATTAGAAAGCATTCTCAGAGTACTTACAGTGTTTTACTGGAGGCAGAACTGTGGGTTTTTTCATGCTTTTTTATTCTGATGACCATTTATCACTTTCTGATGGACAACAAGGTTGTTTTTCTTCATTACTTTTTGCTTAGGTGCATTGTGGACCACAAGCTGAAAATCTCTTGATTAGGGCATATAGTAGTTGACCCTATACACACACATAAAATAAGCAGTAGTGTATGAATAAGCTCAGCTGTTTGATGCAGGAGAGTGGATAAGCTCTAAGCTGTTCCAGCTAGAAGTAGATAAATTCTGATTACTCTGGAGGACTCCAATGAACGTAACAAAAATAATGCCCCTGCCTTAAAGTGCTTGGAATGCAAGATATAAGCAGGTAAATACAGCAAATATACTGGGTAGAAATAGGTGTATTTGAGCCTGTAGATGTCTACTGGTAAATCTGCATGTTCTAGAAGAATAGAACACTCATTGTAAATAATTTGCAGTGGTTTGAAAACCAAACCAAACCATCTCCTAATTTTACTTGCTAAACTTTTCATAGTCCTTGATCCACAAAGCAATACCTGATTTTTTGTGAAATGTAGATATAAACTAAAATGTCTCTCTATTACTAGTGGTAGATGGAACATTTTACCTTGCTTGTATCACAAAAATTGTTAACATCTGGATTTTTTATGTGGCTAGTGCTCATACTACGTACCTGCCAACATAGGTCGAATGTACAGTGCAAACCACAAAAAAAATTACATTTGTTGAATACACAGAGTTAGGAATTTTATTGATAATAAACAGTATGGGAATGAACACATAAACCAATGTGATTATACTATATTAAAGCAACATAATGTTATTATTAGATTATGATTATGTGTCATAAACAATACAGTTATGTATTATTATATTATAATACTATTATTATTAATATTATTGTATTCAAACATAACCACAGTTCTCATCATTTAATATGTTCTGGCATACAGCATATCTCATACTAGAGTTCAACCAGTGTCTATTCAAAAGTCACACTATGAATATATCATACAAAACAGCTGTGCATATTTCTTCATAAATATAACTTAGGTTACATTTTTAAAAATATTTAGTTTTGTTAGAAAAAAAATCAGTTCAGGTTAGATAATGGTAAATTTACCATCTGGATAGAGCAAACAAAACACCAGAAAATAGAGATGAATAGGAAGATTGAATTATCAAAACTTAAAATAAAGCATATATATATCTATGTATGCTTTTTAATAGTTACATAAAACATATTTTTATTTTTATATATATGTGTGTTTCATGTTAACTCCTGAGCATCAGATAATTTTTCATCACATATTACACATGATTATTTAATTTGAAGTGCACAATGACTTACAGAAAGATATAGAAAGTTTTGGCACTGAAAAATTTTGGCTAATTCTCAGCTCTATTTCGTCAGGTTCAAAGAAAGCAGTATTTCATATAAAACTGTAATCACAAAGTAGGGAATCAGAATTACTGAACCTCTTTTTTATGCTGAAGAAGCTAAGGGCACAGGGAGAAGTAATGTAAGGCAGAAGAGTTTCAGTGAGCCGCAAACTTTGTTAAAGCCTCTAACTTTGACAAATACTCTTCTGCTCAACAGAAAGTGTAGATAATACTTTTTATGCTGTAAAAGTGGTTGATGTGAGACGTATGAAAGTGAGGTTGCTGGAGGATTTATTAAGCCGCATAGGAGGTTGGTTTATCTGGGTGACTACAGAGTTTCTGTAATTGTACATGAGGACTGAACTCTGACCTGTACATACTGAAGTGGAAAGCCCCAAGGCATGCCGAGTCTCACTAGGAAAAGAAACAAAGGGGCAAAGTCTGTGTGGTTTAGGACTTCATGGAATTACAGTCTGGAGCTGAAACAATGCTGTTGTTTTTTCTTGCTTAGGGAATTTTAATATGATGAGAGACTAGCTGTATTAGAAGATAAATCTTAAGTAAATATCTGGTTTTAGAAATTTGAAAGAAATGTGGAGACATCCCATTGGAATAGAAACCCATTTATGTTCCCCAGGGAAATCAGATTTTGAAGGAATAGGATGAAAGATTCAATTCTTTTCTTGGCTGACACAGCATTACAGTCACAGTTGATAGGAACTCCATCATGATCCATATCTGTTGAACATATGTTTTTACAAACGGACTTTAATAAACTAGTTGAGGATGAAGGCATTTACATCAAGACATTGCTTTTGTCTGCAAGGACATGTTCTAAAGATTGTGCCTCACACCTTAGATAACTCCTGACATTTCTTCAACTGCATCCCTCCCCATTCACCATCCAGCTGAGACTTTAAAGATTTTACCCAACAGTCACCATCCATCTCTGAAAAATCTGATTCAGACTCAGAAGGAAGAGAACCAGGATAAGACAGTCATTTGTATGCTAAAGTTTATATAAGCTTCTTTAGCTTTAGGTATTGCTCAAGAAATTTCCCAGAAATCCCCCTGATTTCTGTTTATGTTCTAACTTCAATTCTTTTTCCCCCATACATTTTTCACTTTTAGGGGTAGTGATCTGCCTATTCCATGGTACAGATAAGTCAGTCATTTAACCAGATGTTTAATTCTTTATTGTATTTGCCCATCTTCTTCCCAATTTTTACAAATCCAATTGATACCTGATCAGCTTGATTTGACCATGAAAATTCCACTGCTAATAAGCATTCAGAAGTGGATGAGGTTTTGGAGGATTTTTATTTCTTTATATCTTCATTTAAAGGTGTTGATTATTGGCCTAATTAAACCTTTTGATAAGGAGATGAGAATTCTCCAACATTTCCAGGTTTTGGAAGAAAATAGTTGGAAGGAGAAACAGCTTAGAGATGCTGATTTGATCTTATTATTGCAAAATACGTAACCTACTCATTTATGGCTTTCTTTTCCTCCTTAAGTGCATGTCATTAATATTCCATAGAAAGCATAGTACCAAAGTTTAATTGTTTCTTCTCTGCCTCTAGAGAAGGTATAGCTCTTTATGCACTACAGAATAGTCCCCTTTTAAATATGGCTCAGTGTCAAGTTGATCAGTCTCCTGATGCTGCTGGTATGCAATGCTGTTGCTCTTTCTGTTGCTAGTAAGGCATGCTTTCATTTGGATGAGCTGCAAGTGAAGGCCACTTTGGATAAAAAATAATTCTATTTCTATTCTCAAGAACACAAATACTGACTTAAAGATACAGTTAAGTTTGTGTCTCTTGCTTTGGCTTCATCCACTTGTTCTGAGCAGCTAGTTCATTCTCACATTCTTAATCCTCCTGCCAAGATGTCCCACCATGACCTTGGCCCAGGGACTCCAGACGGGAATTTCCAAAATCTTCCAAAAGCCCCCTTTGGTGCCTGTTAGGGGGAAGACATAAATTATTTGACTGCATCTGTGGGAAGTATTCTGAAATTTACTGTTTAGCTTTGAAATAACATGCGTATCCTTATGTCCATCCAGCCCCTTGCCAAATTCTGCTACTCAGAAAGAACTGATGCAGTAGATTCACAATGAGTTGGAATAATTTTGCTTTCACTGTTATCATTTAACGTGGCTCTCACTTCTTTTCCTTCCTCCTGTTTGCTTTTATTCCTGTAGTGGATGTTTCATTTTTTCTGTCTCTCTGATACTACAAGGAAGAGGTTGGCAGCTCCATCACCTTTGAGTATAACTGTGAGAAAAGTGAATCCTGTGATATTGGAGTTATTGATAATTACAGCTAGGCTAATCTTAGATGACTTTATTATAATATTGTTCCTATATATTTGTTTCATATTCTTCCTATGAGAAATGCAACCCAATATTAATAGCTCCATCCTGCTGCGGTGTTGCCCACATTAAACTAGGAAAGGATGGCAGGCAGAGAAAGAGATTCACAAGGATGACAGAGCACTTAGTTTGGGTTTAGCGGACAGCTAAACCAAAATATCTGTGATGCAGCTGTCTCGACTATGAGTTGACTAACAATTGTACGTATAATTTACATACTTGGAATCGGTAGTGATGTGATTACCTAATGCTATGTGTCATAGGAGAGCTAATTTGCAACATGCCTCTGCCCTAGTCAGCTCACCTGGAGGCCATAACCTACTAGGTAGTAATTTTCTGTGTAAATGCAAATGTCCTTTATCTTGCTTTATAAAATAGATTATACTTCTGGGAACATTCACTGATCCTCTGGTGTGATAGGAGGTTAATATTGTTGCTCCAGTGTAGCCACTTGAATCCCTATGATCTGCTGCACTTGCATGTCTAGTATTCCTACTCAGAGGCAGAAGTACTGAAAAATGGAACAGTTCTTTGGTACTAAAAAATATAACTGGCAAAATGTGCAGGCAATGGTAACTCAGCGCCATTTTCTTTTAACGCATTTAACAATATCACTATATTTCAGGTGCTGGACTGGATTAACGAAAAAAACCCTGAATCTCTGTTGAAATCTCTGCTGGGCCTGTTCAGAAAGCTGCAGCAGGGAAAAAAAAAAAAAAAAAAGAAAGAGCAGGCTGTTGCTTTCAGGAGATTAAATCAATGTACACTGTACTGGCTTCTAGATTAGCTACCCTCCTTGGCTTCTATTAAACTTTGGAGCTGGACCCCTGGTTTGAAGTGTTGAAGCAGTTGAAACACAGCTTTAGCTATAGAGAATGTCTGCTAAAATATATATAGCAAATACACTGTTTGCCCTCCTTTGTAAGTGTTACCACTGTACATGGGGCTGACTGACTCAAACGTTCATTGTCTCTCTGGGCTTTTGCCACATGGAGCTGGAATAGATCCTAAGGTATGTTTCTATTATTTTCCTCACATTAGCCATATGAACAAGATGGATAATCTGAAATTGCTGCTGAGCCCCCAGCTACTTCACTGCAGGCAAAGAATCAGAATCTCCTTTTTAAAATTTTCCCCCAAACAGTGAAGCTCACAACAAGAGAGCTAGCTGCAGTTCAGGATTTGCCTTTTTATGCTATCATTAATGATTCCGCCTTTCACAGAATTCTCATTTCCAAATGAACTAGCATCAGTGAACACTTATATCAGTCCCTTAAAAGGGGATTTGAATGGAGAAAAGATGAAATCACTCATACCACCACTCAAGTCAAATGAGGAGTCACCCGTTTCTGTCCGGGCAAAATGGAACATCAGCTATAGATCTGCAGAACTCTATTAGCCTGCCCTTTTCTTGCTCTTAACGTTCCCACAGCTGCTGGCTTCTCACTGAAGGCATCCTGCCCATTGAAATAACATCTCCTCGGTTAAAGAAGGGACAAATGGATCACTGCCTCTGGGCAGTGATTAATTATTACAGAGTTATGCATCCACATAGGTAAATGTACTCAACAGTAATAATGCTATATTACTAGCTTAATTAAATCACTGTATAACTTTAATCAGAAATCGAACTGACTTAAAAAATTGCGGGGAAACTGTCAGATGCTACTTTTAAGGTCCAAATGTCTACTAGGGAAATTAAATTAATAAGACATACCGTGCCCTGTAATTGTAAAAGGCAGTTGGACATTGCAGAAACTGAAATCTATTGATCATGCAGTGTAAATTGACTGCCTAAAAGAAAATCTGGACCGCGCAAATTATTGGTTAAATTCTCATACGTGTTATAAGAGGGAGAGATAGCTAATAGTCCTTGTATAAATATACTGATGCTGACCCAGAACTGACTTTAAACTGTGAGGACTTTCAAATACCTCCTGTGAAATTATCTGCACAGTACCTGATCAATGGGTGCTCAAATATTTGGAGCCACTGGAGGCAAAGTTCTATTGATGAGCAACCAATATTTATCTTCAGGATTTAATAAAACAACAAGAAGGCAGAGGATGTCAGACACCATCTGCACTAGTGCTACTTGCATTATCCTGTTAAAATATAGACAGAAATATGGATACTGAACACCAGGAAAGGAAAGGAAAAAATGTATTTTAAATTATTGCAAAGTCAGGAACACAGACTGATGTAGTCCAAAACTTCTGTGCAAGAGCATTATTCTTCTCATCTGGTGTCAAAAGGTAGAGCTATTTTTCTTTTTGAACACAGAAACACTCTGCTATGAGTCACCTGAGTCCCAAACTGAGTTCGATTAATTGGAGAAAATACAGTACTAATCTCTTTCTTAACATTTACCGGCAGTAGTTGGAAAAGATTAGATAGTAAATACCACACAAATGACTAGACCTTGTGTAGAAGAAATACTTCCTTCAACCTAGGTGCGTTTACTTCAAAAGTGAGCATCCTAAATTAGTTTTTACTGGTCTGGCTGCAGTACTAAGTCAGATCAGATTCATGCATGTCTTAATCATATTGAGTCTTTTATTCCGGGATATGTATAAATTTCCTCAATAAAAAAAAAATATTAACCTGGCATTAATTTAGTCCATCCTTTATACTGATCAGAGCATTTCTTATAACCATAGGACTCATGCCATGGTAAAGCTTTCAATTGGCAGCTTAGCTCTCAGGAAAAGGAATAGCCCAGGAGAAATACTGGAGAACTAGATTAGCAAATGGTCTTTTTTGGCTCTAGAATATGCATCTGGAACAGAAGGAGGTGAAACAAAATAAAAGAGATATGGCCAATGTCTAACAGACAGTGGCTAACAGGGTCGCAAGCTGAGTGGTCACAGGCTTAGCAATATTCTTTCGGAAAGACAAATTCACAGTATTTAACATGCTTGCCACTGTAAGTGTTTTAATGAAAAACAAAATAAAATTAATCAGGTACTGATTTTCACAATGGCCAAGAAAAAGAAAACTATCTGAGCAAATGAACTGTTTGTTTCTCTCATCAAGAATACTGCTGGACTGTGTCTCAAGCTTCTTCAAAGCTAGAAATAACAAAAATCCCTTTCTCTCTTTGATTAAAGACCACAGCTGTTACTTGGTATTAGCTTGCCTATGCATGTGACATCAGGTAAGAGAAGATCATATTCAATGCATACCATTGTTTTAAGGTAAAATTTAAAATGTAGGACCAGTTTACTTCATTCAAACTATATACTGTATAATAAACACTTCTTTCACTGATGTTTTGCAGTGGCAAATAATTTATTTCTTCTCTGATACCTCTGCCATTGTTCAATCCCGATATCAATCTGCTTATGAATTTACTGATCAGTTAGTCTATAAGTCACCTGGAAGATGACATCCGCTGCACGCACGTTTATGTTCTTTCTTTTGTAGTTTACTGGAGATTCAGCTCCTCAGAGTGCTGAAGATTGACTGTTGGGAGTAACCCAAGAATAAGGGAGTACCAGGCAGTGTATTTGTTGCCATAATGAGATTGAGATTTCCTTCCTGGTAAGTGGACAGCTGAGTGACTCAGCCATTTATCAAATGAAAATGGAGAAATGGAGGTACCTTGAGGAAAGAATTACTTATTATGGATAGTAGGTGGGATGACATGGTTATTAATCATGAAGAAAACTTTAGAAAGAGCTGAAAGAAGACCATGCAACATTTCAAAACTACCAGAGGACAGGTGACGTTGCACTGAGTCTTAGAAATACAGTTATCATGATTTCCAATAACTGGTCAAAAGTGATTCCTGCCTTCAAAGTTGTTATCCCAAAAGGAGACCGAAGTTACGAAGTCTACTACATAGAAAAGATTTTTACCACATAGAATTACTTTTTTAAAGTGTGTTAGAGACTTGGTCACCTCCTTTGTTCAGATGATACTACTTTTCATTGGTTGAAATTTACATTTAAATCTTTGGCAATTGCTAAAGGAACTAATTTGCTAAAGTAATGACTAGGGTAGTGTCTGTGTCAGAGGTAACAAAAGAACTAATGAAGCATGTTCTGTCTTTGGACAGTGGAACCAGGCATCAGCGTTACTATCTGTTGAGAAGACTGGAGATAATTTTTAATACCATTATGCTACCCTTGTACAAAAGGGAAAAAAGGCAAGGAAGGATCTTTAAATAAATATTCCAATTTTTTACTTTTAATTCTTAGGTAAAACAAGTAATTGGGTTTACCTGAAAACCATAATAAAAATAAATATATTAAGAGGTAGCCAACAGACATTTAAGACCAATACGCCTCAGCTTATGCTTTGACACTAGTTTGTTGAAGAAATGCTAATGAGAAAAAAAATAGCAAGAAGAACTGTCAGACATGACTAAGAACAGAAGTGACAGATGAACTAGGATCTTTTAGGAGCACAAGATGGTAAATGTTTCACATAAGAAAAATAGCTATAGCCAAAGCTTTAACAGGTATGATAATTTTATATTATTATTAATAATAGAACAGCTTTTTGCTGAAACCCCATTCAGTTAGCCCTGAACTGATGCTCATGAGGAGGTTCCCACTGCAGATATCTTGAGATCTTTTTAAAGAAATTTGTTGAAAAGTTGGTGAGTTAGGCAGGATTTCTTTTCCCATGGACTTACCAAAAAATAAAGACACTGTAAGTCAATAAGAAACTTTAAACCCTGTAAAATTCCTTTCATTTGTATTTCATAAGTAATATCATTTGTATGTATTCAGTTATGAATACATTGTGAATTACAGGGATTGTATTACTCTCTGTTTACATGTTATGCTATGTAAGTAGGAGTTTTAAGTGATGTGCTTTCCAGTTTATTGTTGCCGATAACCTAATTTCTCTGAAGACATTCATGGAAGCATCTTGGTTCCCAGCTTGTGTCTTTTGGTCAGTGTTTACATTCCTTCTGTATAACCTTTACAAAACTCTGAATAAATTCTGCAAAATTTTTTTCTTCATACTCTTCACATTCCTTGCATTTTGCTGATATTGTGGAATTCAACTGAAAAAGAAAATGCAGTAGTAAAGCAGGATAGTGATCTATTTGCTTTGATAGAGAACTAACTCTTTTTTGTCCTGGTTTTGTGAGCAATTCCAATGCAGTCAATATCTAGAGAAAGCCTTGCTGCAGGCTTCCACAGTACTTATGTTCTGTGCAGCTTCTGGCTTGCTTTCTGCGTAGGATCGGCTTTCAAAGATCTCTCAGCACTTCAGTGAGAGGTGCAGGTGGCTGTCCCTTCAAAAATGAGGATTCTTTTCTGTATGTGTCTGAGCATACCTGACTTTAGATACTGAAGTTACAAACTGTTATTTTTATATACACATTAAAACACCGTCCTGATGTATGTATGCATGCACAGTCAAAAGCATTTGCTTTGATGGGAATCCTGAAAGTGTTTTTCTAAAAACCACTAAATTCTGCTTTTTCATCGTTGTGTGTGTAGCTTTGTCATTCTTATATGTACAGGTTACTGTATCCCATTTGCTTTCATCTGTACCATCCCACCTTTTATATACCAAAAGAGGTATTTCTGCTACTGAGGAAACTCTTTTGATTTGCCTTTTTTCCACAGACTGCTGGTGTTACTTACCTTGCTATTTTCTAACCTTGCATTTCCATTTTTCCAGATGTTAAATACATCCTGTGTTTTACTACAATTTTTGATAAGACATTCTTGAAGAATCACTTTTGTCTCTAAGAAAAAGCATCTTATTACAGGTTCTTGGCATTCTTTCTGAAAAAAAAAAAAATTGTAATAGTTTTACAATTAAAAAGGAGTAAGTGAATGTAAGATATAATTTACCGTGAAGTGGCTGATTTTCATTTACTGGATGTCTCTTCTTACTATACAAATACTTTTAAATATCTGCAAAGATTGGCTGTGAGAGCTAGCAACAAAAAGGCCAGCCAGTTTGCTAAGATGAGGTGAAACGTACTGTCTTGATGGAGAACATAGAAAAACAATTAATTAGGATAGGAATTTGGGATATAATTAAACATAGTGGAATTAAATTAGTATTATTCTTAGTAGTTCTAATGCTTTCTTTCAGAGACCTGAGTTCAGAATAGGCAGGGGAGAAGTGAAAGTAGATATTACCTTTATTTCACAAATTAAAGAAAAAGAAGTAGTACTGATTTCTCCATCAAGTCAACAATAAAGACAAGAGTAAGTACCAAGTTGTCTGACTTTCATATCAGACTGTCCCACTTTAAGAAAACCTTCCTGACATTGCCACATATTAAATCATCTATTACAATGGATTAACCTCTCTGGCTCAGTTCAGTTAAGATAATGTGTGTGCAGATGGCAAAAGCAGAGAAATGCACAGGTAGATGCTGACAGTTGCCTTCCAAATTCCACTTCTCTACTATTTTATTCCATTAAATAGTGCATGGTGTTAAATAATCATCTTTGGAAGTATTTTCTTTGTCACTTTTTTCCTCAAATTACAAACAAATACCAACATTATTTTAGCAGGTTTTGCTTTGATAAGATCATTTTGAATCATCCCTTTTAATTGATTAATTTTAATAGCAGGTGACTCAATAAAAATAATTAATACCTGCTTACATAACTTATCATAAGTACTTGAACTATGGAACTGTTCCTTTTGAGGCAAATTAATTGATTTCTGAAACTTTTCTCAAATTAGATCAAGGCTGCCTTAGGAGAAAGTTGCTAGTAAAGAAATGAAGCTACTGCATTAGACCAGTTGTGGTCAAATTTTAAGTTTACTTACATCCTCATCTGTGTTTGCAGTATATAAACTGACGTCAATGTCCTAAAAGAAAACAAGAGTTAGAATTATGAACATTAACTAACAGATTTAGAGATAAGAAAGTTTATTCTGCAAGACATGAATTAGCTCCAAGTTCAAAAGCCTGGCCTATCCAGGTACTGGGAGCCAGCAAGTCAGGGGAACTTAAAGTCACCGAGTAACCTGCAGGATGGGCTTCACTGTGAGGTGGACTCATCAGAATTGAGTCCCATAATATTTTCTCTGAAGGAGCTAACTCCCAAGCCCACTGCCCCTTTTCTTAGAAAAAGTGAGAAAGAAAATAATATTTAATTCTAGAGTCCACAGTATTTTGTCAACTCCAATTCCCTTTAACCTTCTATTCCTTTGCTTCTACTCATGAAACACCATTATACAAACACCATTCCTTTTCCGGCTCCCTGTCACTGACACTTCTTAGCTGAGTACAGTGCTAAATATTAAATTATGTCTGCTCCTATGATTATATGAAATGCTGACTTTTTAATGAACTTACTTTGGATGTCTTGATCTGCTCCAAATCTTTCAGAACTTCCGCCCATTTGCAATGACCTGCTGCTGTCTTTGGTACATAAGCGCTAGAACAGAAGAAAACCAGTGACCGTTAGGCTAAACGGTAGGTATACACAACATTTTTGCTGAAAAAAAGAGTAAGAGTGTATTAAGATAATATAGATCTATTGTTTACATGTATATATACATATGGTAAATGTGTGGGGTGAGTATATTTGATAAATCATAAAATCATATAGATACATTAAAACTGTACCTCATTCACACACTGTATAAACAATCGATGTCTTTTTTAAAAAGGTCAGTTTTATAGAACGTAATGCAAGATAAAGTTTCAACTACTTAATGTAAAATGCCTACCATTCCTTAAAAGTATACAAAAAAATTACAGATTTCAAAGTCTCTTATGCTACAAGTTTCCCCCATAATACTATGGAATTTCTACCTTAAGCTCTGTAGAAATATTATTTTTCATTTTAGATGTAATTATTTGTGTACAGGAAAGCTTCCTCCTGCTATGGATAATATTTTTCTTAAAGTGAACCCCTAAAGGGTGGAAGAAAGGTTTCCTTCTCCTGTGAAGATTTTTGGAATGTGAATTGCAGTTTTAATGTGTCCCCACTTGGATCCTTAATTTGGATGCCTTTCACTACTGCTGTACTATAAATAATATACAACAATGTATTTGTTTTGGGAAGCTGGTTTAAAACAAGCAGTTGTTAAGCATTTAAGCCTCAGCCAAAGGCTCAAAAATTACAAGATTTTTGGAAAAGGAAAAAAGGGGCTTATAACAGGAATCAGAGGACGCTTATGATATTTTTGACGGGGGAAAGAGAGAGAAGAAATATCAGACCTTGGCAAAGAGATTTGACTGAAGGGTCACAAGGAGACAACAAGTGGGGCATGTAGGCACTAGAAGCAGGGTCAGTTTTCTAAGACAGGAAACTGGAGTGAGAATGGAAGGAAGCATCTCATATACATAATTCAGCACACATATTTTAAAATTATCACATATGGTAGGGGTTTTTTTTCATTGCAAAGACATATGGCAATTGGTGGAGTTCTTTAAACGCAACAATTCCAACAATTTGAGGGTTATCACAGAGATTAGGGCCAAGATGCAGTCTTGACCAGACTGAGCCTAGTCAAAGACAGAATGAAGTAATGGACAATAGCCTATGAAGCAATGGGGGACTGCGTATCATGGCAAGAGAGGATCCACTCTCTAAAGCGACTGGAGGCAAGTAACAGCTGGAATAGTAATAATTTGTATTTACTCTCTAATTAACATTGACTTTGTAGTTACCATAGGAAGAAGATGATTAGTCCCATCTCATTCTTTAAAAGGCAAAAGAAATGGCTGTTCAGAAGAAGATACAGCTGATATTGCAGACAAATACTTTTCAGGTGTATTTTCTGAAAGACACAACCAAGATCATAGCTTGTCACAATCTGATTTCACAGAATTTTGCTTTAGTACTGACTTAATTAACCAACTTGACAAGACGTCCAATCAAGACAAGACTACCTGTTGTGTGTAGATTGAAAGACCAACTGATCTCTAGTGTGCAGAAATATATAATCACTTTACAAAACGGTAGAAAATCAGATGCTGAAGACACACTGCAAAAATCTGCACTCATCCTGGGCTCCCGATTTATTTGTCTGCTTATGCTGCAGACTGCAATTTAATGCAGGGACAATATTAAAGTATTTTTATTTTGATTTCCATCCTGGAGATCTTTCCTCTGGCTACCTTTTGTGGCCCAACTTCTATGAATTACCTACAACTATAACATTACCAACAATATTGTGGTTGCCTATACATGAAACTCTGCTACGAATACACCTAGACATGCTAGAGTTACGTGTATAGATCTTAAATATAGTATTTAGATATAGTACATATTTATACTTCTTTATATAGTGTATGTACATATAATAGTGGGAAGCAATGCATTTAAGAATGATATAAGCTGATACAGTTCCTTCACAGAGCTAGGTTAATTATCTGCAAGTGTGCTTTTGATTCAAGGTTTTATTTCTTATCATAGGTGCAACACTCTTACATTAACTGACTCAAACGATGTTCTTTAGCACTAGTTTATTTATGTACTAACTTGCAAGTGAATATTTAAAAATGGACCAGAGAAAATAATACAAGAGCTAGCACTGTGCAATGGTAAAAATATGAAAATGGGAGGTCAATCCATACATTGTCACGTTTGCAGCTAACTTGCTGAAATCCACCTAACTGTTATTAAAGCATCTGCTGGCAAAGCCCTGAGCGTAATACTTACGTGTGTCACAGGGGACTTCTGAAGAGTATTTGTAATAAGGATTTGTTACTCTCTTACACAGAAAATGTTTTAAATACACTGCAATTATTTTGTTTCCAAAACCCAAAGATACAGCTGAAATAGCATAGTAACCTAATCACTACATAAATTCCACACTCAATAATGGGAAGCAGTGCCAAACCCTTTTATCACCCGCGTGTGTCCAAAACCTATTAAATAAGAAGTATGTAAATGAATGATAAATAGATAATCTAAATTAAAGTAAGGCCAGAGCAAGTAATATCTCATCCATCTTCTGAACTATTTCAGTACGGAACAGGCCATGTTATTGCTACCCAAAATGTGTCTAAAACCAAGGCTCAACCTCTTGCTGTTTCCACAATAAATGGAAATAAAAAATATGTGAGTATTAAAACCAAAATATTAAGTATATATAGATACAATAAATATTTTCCAAACTTACAAGAATATAATGGGAAAGAAATATGACTGCTTGGCTATGGTCAAAAGAGCTAAATCATTTTGTTATAGTATGACAGAAAGGCTGTAACCTTTTCACAGTTAATATTGTTTTATCTGAAATTTGTCATGGTGTTGGTTTTGTTTTGTTTTGTTTTTTAAATCTGCATGTTAACTGTTTTGATTTGATTTGCCAGTCCTTAAAAAATATCCTATTTTGCTTTTTGGCTTTTTTTAATTATTTGATTGAAGTACGAAAGTAGCCTTATGGGGAAACTCAAAGTACATTTAAAGAAATTTAAAATCTGGCTTGTTGGATACAGATGAAGAAAACATGTTTTAATCCCATGTTTATTTTTTTTTTAAACATGTTTTAACAGAAGTATTTAAAATGTATTAGAAACATTTTGCAGTAGGTAAACATTTTGATGATTTTACATTTTATCAAATGAGATGAGGTGGCTACAAATGAAAATATGAAAGACTTATGTTGGCTCCATAAGCACTTACTAACTTTGTGTTTCATAATTAGTACTATGGGGCCTTAAAAATCTGATTTGAGAGGGAGTTCCAGTCCAAATGCATTGCCATATTTATGCTGTAGAACAAAGTGTTCAAGGTGAGGAAAATAATACATTGCCTTACCTAATGAATAATGGGCCAGGGTTATCATTAGTTTGTCATTTGTTTCTGTGATAGCAATGGAACATTGTGTTCTTAATGATTAATGAAGTCATCTTGATCTTTGGTTTTCTTAAATATGGTAGGCAACTATTTTACTGTAATGAAATAATCATTGCTAATTAAAAATAATAGCTTAGTTTTTAGAAGTAATAGAGAACTTGTACTGATTGTAAAATATATAAAAACTATACTGCGTGCATACTCTAAAGGGTATTCCATTTGTTTATAGAGAAAGAGGTTCTTAACATCCAATAGATCACCTAACACATTCCTTTCATCAATTCAGGGCCATTTTTTACTTGAATTTCTTAATTATTTCATCCAAACTATTATTGAAAAACAGAAGGAATGTTAGCTCACTTACCTGCTTTGGCAAGTTATCCCCCTGCCTTGAACACACATTGTTCTAATTTCCAAATTTCCTTTGGCTAGTGTCAGTTTTTCATTTCTTATTGTGTATAATCATTAACCAGTTGCTCTCTGTCTTCATTATGTCTCTGATACTTGTTTTATAGCTGCTTGAACTTTGGACAAGGGAGCAGCTCATATTAAAACACACACATATTTTTATCTGTAGCTTGTGTCCTGATAACCTGCAAATCTAAGGTAAGGACTAAAGCCTTTGTAAGTGAATATACATTACTCCAAAAGATAGTTGGGTTATGATATACACAGTCACCTGTTTGGAAAAGCAATGCTTATTTCTTATAATTCTTATTCTATATAATATATAGAATATATATATTTCTTATAACAAAGTTAAAATGAAGCACATCAAGTAATATCTAAGCCACAGTGGTCCTGTTTTCCCTTTAAAGAAGCAAATGTATAAGCAAATGACAAAACTTTTCTTTAACAAGGCAGAAATGGTTGCTGATTCTGCTGGCTTGGCTGTCACAAAAACTGTAAGTCAAAAGAACATATTCACAGCTCTTTACAATATTTAAGTTACATGTGAAGGAAAGTACTGAAAACTAAAATTACATGTCTTTGCCTATATATCATATATCTAAATTTCTTTATTAAGGTTTGCTTGTAGATTTCTCAGTGAATCCTTGAGATGTGATATTTGTAACTAAGAAAGTTTAATTCCTGTGCAAGTTGGTTATATCTGCAAATGTCCACTATTTTTTATTGCTTATTTTGAACCATATTTTTATTCTTAGTTATATGATCTTAGTAATATTATCCCCTGCCAGAACTTTATATCCATTTCTTTCAGAATCCTGGACTGTCTTTAGAATCTTTCACTATTTGCAAAAAACCTCCCCTCCCCCCTCTCCCCCCCCCGCCAAAAAAAAACCCAAACAAAAAAAACCTCAACCAGCCAAACAAAAACCCCAAAGTCTAACCTGCTTAATTTGTGGTTACTCTCAATTTATCCCTAACTTCTTGACCTCTGGCACACAGCTTTTTTCTTGATCAGACCTTTCTCTCTTTGCCTCAGGGCTTTCTGGCTAGTCTCAGCAGTGCTGACAGGCATCACTAGTCCTTCCATTCCTTACTCCTGTAAGCAAATCATCCTCCTCAGACTGTTCTCTCTTGTGACACCCTGAATTCCTTTTCTGTTCATCCTCGGCTTCTTGTTTTCCCTCTCTTTTTTGTGTGTTTGATGTGTTGCTCTTCCCTTATTTGTTGCCATGTAATTTTTTTTCTGCCCATTTCTCATCTTCATTCTCTAGTACAATATACCTCTTCTTGCACATAATTTATCCTATTTTAGTCAGTCTCTACTTCTGCCCTGTTCTAGAGATGTGTGTCCTCAACTCTTTCTCTTTTACTTCTTGTGCAACCGAGCTGTAAATATTCTCTGTTACTGCCACAAATTTCCCTCTAAAATTGTACCATCACCTCCAGCTCTCTCTAGTCCTTGGACATTTTATGGAGCAACATCTCGGGCATAAAGTGGTTTTTTTCAGATCCATATTCAAGTACTGTCTACATCGTGCAGACCTGAGTTCTGTACCCATTCATTTGTATTGTTTCTGCAAGTCTTCTCCTTCCACGTCTCCTTTGCCACAATAATTACAGCCTCCTTCAGACAACTCTGCCTCCTTGCCCAACAAAATCTCATCCTACATCTCTTGTTCTGCTGTTCTCTGTTTGTTGGCTCCACCAATTAATTTTTATGTCTTCCTGTGCTAGGGCAATTCCTTTCAAGAGGACAAAGCGTCAAGTAGCTGTACAACTAGAGTGCTGCATCTATTTAAGGTTGCATATTGTACATAATATTTGAGCTCCTTCTTGCTCAGAAGCATAGAGAGCATTTTTAATGTCAGAATGTATAAAACTGGGAAGAAAATCAGATGTCTTTCCCATCTGTATCTTAGTCTTGTAAAAAATAAGCTTTTTTTTTTTTTTTAAGATTTTTTTTCAAGAGAGAAGCCATGGAGAGTGAAGATTTCATAAACTAATGGAAGTAACTAAAAAAGGAATGGAGCCCATAAAGAAAGCAATACTTCTGAACTAGATAGGTGTTTCAGTATTGAGCCTTTAAATAAGTAATTTTGAAATCAAATTTTCATGGATCATGAGCAAGTTTTAGAGAAAAGACATGTCCTTAGTGCCTTGTTATGGAGTAAATGCTGGAAGACTGCAAGTCAAAGGAGCAGACGCATTGAAAGACCTCCCTGCTCTTTCATTCCTAAGTTCCTCTACACAGTTTAAAGGGAACAACCAAAGGCAAACAAAAAAAAACCATAAACAAAAAACCTGAATATTAATTAATGTCAGAATGTATTTATTCTGATGGGATAGAATTCAGAGATAAAAACAGAGAACCACGTCAATGTACTCTGAGACAATAAGAAACTCTGTAACAGATGCTACCTATAGGTGCAGCCCTCTAAACATACCTTGAGAGTAATTTCATTTGTGTGTTACCAATATAAACAGAAACTAATATTTTTCTATGATGGGATCTAGTACCAGGGACTGAAATCCTTTCCCAATTTCTACAGACTATTCCCATCT